GCTTTTGTGACTATTTAAATTCTGCAGTATTTTATGTAATTGGTTGAATGATTTATTATAGGTAAAGATTTAATGATTTTTTCAGTATTTATTGGGTTTCTTAATTATTGTGCCATTACCTTAAAAATCATGTATTTTGATACGAAGGTAGTATGTGTTTGTATGGCTCCATTAATTTCGTGTTCTTATCGAGTCCATCTCGAACCGACGGACTAGAAACCTTACAAAAAAATGTTTTCCTGTTTTTACTTTTGTCGTGGAACCATTGTGTAGGTTTATAATCTCGATTGAAAACCTAAAACAATTCATTTTTATATGAAATATTTATCTTTTAGCAGAACAAAACAAAACTATGTACTTTGTCAAAAGATAAGACAAAACACAACCTAATCTTTTTATATAATAAAACGTAATTGTGATTATGGAAGATCGGAAATTAGACTCATGAGCTCGAAGGAGTGATACGAAATTGGTGTCAAATAACATGAAGCAAGTTCAAAACGAAATCAAGACTTGACACTTATGTTAGTTTATAATCGTTTACCGACAAAACCACTGAGTCAGTGTCTTCTTAACCTTACAAACCGATAGTTCTGTTCCTGCTTATGCAAATATTATGATGGGCGAAGTTTCAAATATTCATGAGCGATCACACAAATTAGATTTAGAACCAGTCTGATATATGGAGAGAAGTTATGCCTTACGGATTATTCCCCAACAAAATACATTCAACACTTCAAAAACTACTGCTTTAGGGTATCAAAAGCATGGCTTACTGTTTCTAGACCCATGGAGATAACAAGTACACGAAGGCATAAAAGTTGGTACGGTGTTTCAAGTCATTGGCAATATTGCACATACTAAGAACAACTCAGTTCGGTACAAAACCAAAGCATGAGAGTGACTGACAACTGAGAAGAGCACATGAATCAATCACGCCTTGATAGCATCAGCTCTAGGTTTCCATAGCCCTAGCCTGTATTTGTGGCTATATTTCAGTATGAGTTTCCTCTGCAAAACCACAGTAGGAAACTATGTGTAAATATGTGTGTAAGCTATAGACAGTAGAATATGTGTATTGCAAATCTGTGTAAACTATACAGTAGAACTGAGCCTTGATACTTACATGTTTGCAAGGGATGCCGACCTTCTTGAGTCTGAGCGTACGAGTCACAAGCAGTTTGGGAAGATCCCCTATCTCAGTTTCAATTTTGGCAATGTGGGTCTCAACTCCTCCCCCTATCCCACTCAAGAACTCAGGAATCCCAACCTTAACTGCAATTATCACAAAATAGCAATCAGACCAAGTACACAGATTTTGGCTCAATCCAAATCCCAATCACATTAACAAACTGACTGTTACGTGGTCCAGAGATGTGACGATGTTATTCTGTAATAAGCAGCATCTTGCAAGTGAGAAAATAAATCAATTGACCAAACGGATACATTCCAAAATACTTGCAAACTAAAATGGATACTCGATCGACTAGTCAGATTCAACCATTCCTTGTCATTTTGCAGCCATACTCGATCAATTGTTAAAACTTTAAAGAAAACAAAAAGCCTACAGTTTCCAAGTGCTGAACCCAAGTAAACCCCACTAATTCACCAAATATATTTTCCTAGAATTTGAAGCCTAAGCTGAGTCATGAACCTTAAAACCATTGAAGTTTCCAATAGTGCTAAAGGTAATGAATCAGCCAATACAAGAAAATTTGCATCCCCAAATCGAGATACAGAAGCGA